CTCTGGCTTGGTGGATGCTCTGGTCTATGGCTTTGCAGCTGTTGTTCTCTAGGGACAGCTGACTATCCATTTGTTTGTGAAAACGTCACCTTGATAGAGCAAGGGAACTATGAGTAACTTCCAGTCTTTGAATGAAGGATCAGGAAACCTCTGGGGGCGAGCAGCCCTCTTGACAAATAGTTAAGCTTTGACTGATCACACATTGCCCTCATAATCATGTTAATGTGATGTATCCAAAGGGACTTCAACTTGTAGCACAGCCACTGCTGCCTTTTATCTCCTGTCTTCCCGGTGGATCAGGAAACACATAACCCAGTGCATGTGTCCTGCCTTCCCACTGTCCAGACTCTGGCAGCCTTTGCCAGCGTTGGCTTGTCTGCCAGTGTTTGGCAGTCCCTGCATTTCCCCCTTACCTCACTTATTCTGTGCATTTGTTTCTTCAGAATTATACTGCTCCCCAACTGAACACAAAGATATACCAAGAAGAAAGTTTGATTTACCTTTATTCATAATATTGACTTGTTTGGGAAGCTTCTGTTGCAGAAGTCATCTAAAATAATTGTGCCACCACCCTTTCAGCACATGTTCAGATACTTTTCCCCTTTCGTTTCTCCCATTGCTGCAGACAATTCTCTGCCTTTCCCTCTTGCTTTTCAGTACAGCTTGAACTTTCCCAAGCTGGGTTCAGGAGGCTGGGCAGGGGGCAGGTAGCTGCTCCTGCTGGATTTCCTGGTTTCTCCTCTCCTCCTGGCAGCCCTGGCACCTGCAGCCAAACTCTGGCCAGAGGGATGGTCTGCAGTTTGGGCAGGGAACCTGTATGGGAGGCTCCTCCATAACACAGCTTGTCCCATTTCAGGTGGAAGATATGTGGCAGTTACTGTAAAAAGCAGTGTTTGCTTTGCTGGTTTAAATTGTAAGTGCTTTGAGGGCAGGGCCTGGCTTTTGTGTATGTACATGTGGGTGTGTATTTTTATACAATTCCTGATGTGACACACACAGGAGCTGTGTGCAAAGACCATGGCTTTCTGTCTTGTGGAAGCTTAGAGAAATGTTTTTCCTGATCCAGAGAGATGAACAGTGATTCTGATCTGAACACTGGGGCTGTTCAGAGAGACAAATTGCTTTGGACTTCTGGACACAACTGTTTTCCCTCTGCTGTCACCAAGTAGTGTACCCCAATGTATTCCAGGTACAGCAGTGATAAGCATGGCCCTGTGTCCACAAGAATGTTGGAATGGATTCCTTGGCCAGTAAAGGAAGGAAAAGCTGCATTGTACCCTCTGTCATTTGCTGACTGGGATGCCATCATTAACCACCTCTCACCCATAGTTTTGACCAATTAAACAATTGCTCGCTCTAAAAAGAGTTTGGATTAGAAACAGACCTTGCTCTTTATGTGTGCTGTAAGTAGAAGAGAATCTGAACTCAGAAAAATTTTAATTTAAGCTTGATGCTTTTTTTAAGAGACAGGCATTTTTTTTTAATCCTTTGCCAGGTGTATGCTGAGACATCCCCTATGTTGAAGAGCTAAGTCAAGGGTGAAAATTTCAGTTTCTCTTCCTTTGGCATACTCTTAACTTAGTTTTATGCTAAGCTGCCACACTTCTGAAATGTGATGTACTTTTCTGCAGCTTGTAGTGTGTGATTTCACAGTTTCTCTGTTTTGTAAACTTATTTTGTAAACTGACATGTTCTTAGGAAAGGTTCAGGTCTGGAGTTAGCTTAGGAGTGACTCCAGCAGTGAGAACAGATGTGTGCTGGATTAGACTGCATGGGGGCTGTGAAGTCTTCATCACTGAAGGCTTTAGGAACAAGTACAGCTGTAAAGAGTGATGTAAATATTGGTGGCTCGGCCAAGACAGCCTCTTGAGGTCTTTCTTTTCCTCCCATAATTTCCATGATATCTGGATAATGCATGATATTTGACTATCACACTTCTATTCTTTTATCACTTATGTTTCCTTGAAACTCAAAATCAGATTCTAGCAACAACTGGGAGAAGATCCTGGGACTCTTCCATCATGGTTCTGGGATGTCTAAAATGACCAACTCTGGACCTCTGGCAATCACAGGAGAAGTTTTAAAACCCTTGATGACAAGTTCTGTTCTCCTTTTCCCAAGCCATAAAGCACTCACTGTGAAACTGTTACACAAAGCAGTGAGTAGACAGCAAGTGGACTTGGGACAGCAAATAGGAATCTTCCTTTCTGCTTGCCTAGCATAAATGGAGATGAGGATTTTATTCTTATTAACTACAAACAGGAATGACAGAAGGCTGCAAGGAAAAATCATCCTGTGCATAGTCTTGAGGTCTCTGATGAAACAAAATAACACAAAATTTACAGATGCTAAAACCAGTGATAACATCGATTTGATGCTGCATTTTGTCTTCCTCCTATAATACAGTAAAATGGCCTGTAATTCACATTGCAAAATTGGCATGCATGGCTCTTTGAAGATATCATCTTCCTTGTATGTCTGCAGTGGCCAGAGTAACAAGCCCACCCACTACAGTGCTGCAACAAGCCATACAAATAAATAAATAAAGAGGGACAAATAACACCATCTCCTCAGGGCAGCTGCCCACCCGATGTGTCTTGCGTAGTTGTGAACACTTCAGCACAGGAAAGTCTTTGTTCCTTGTAGTTTTAAATTCACTCCCAGTGCTTAGGAAGGTAATAGATTATCATAATGTGTTTATTACATTATATAAAATGTTACTTCAATTCAGATATTTAACTTCTAAATCGTTGCTGACAATGACATTAGTTCAGACTTGGAGAGTTTGTTTGCACTGTGTCTTCAGCCTGGCATTTTAAGCAGAGCAGTTGTGGCCTGAGGTGACTGCTATAGCATGAAAATTCTCTGGAAAATTTGTATGCATTGTCATTTATTTATTATCTTCGTATGTGCATTTCATCTGTTAGTGCCTAAGTGGGCTTTTGGAGGGTGACTGTAGCCTTGTCACTAGCTGGGTGACTTCACTGTTTCTTTCTTTCTGTTTATTGAATATTGTCAACTTCCATGTCTCCCCTCTGTAACTGTGGAGTCTGCAAGCAAAATATTTCTTCCTTCAACATGAAAAACAAACCCTAACCTAGGGGAGATAAATTACCTTCTTACCATCTGTTGGAAGGTTAGCAGTATGTTCAGCCTTGAACTATGGCTTCATTTTCGTATTTCATGCAGCAGCTTCTCTGCATTGTTTATATTGTGGTCGAAGGGGATCTTCCTATACCAGGATGCAATAGGAACGTCATTTTTCCTCTGACATGAGCAGATGTCCTATCTGCAGCAGTAGCAATAACATTGCTGCTTCCTGTTGTTGCAGGTGTTGTCAGCAGGCTGGAGCTGAAGGCAAGGAAGGGGCACATTTCTGCCCGTGCCATTCACTGCCATCAACACCAGCACTCCCCATACACCTCCTTTTCCACTTGTACTCGTTAGTAGTGGCTTTCTTGGCTAGTGGGCAGGAAGTTGCCCTGGAAAACAAATTTATTTCCTTACTACCTGGCCTTTGCTTCTCTGTTGTTCTTCTTTGCATTGGTATCTCTGCTTTCTCTAGATTTGGTTACACCTAACCCAAATTACAAGTGGTGTTATCATATTTAGGGAAGGGGTGGCTGAACGGAGTGTGACACTCATTTAATTATAAAACTCCCCACTCTTGCGTTCCAGGGCACAGCCCCATGCAACTCTTCAGTCAGCAATTACCGCATTCTTTTTCCTTTATTCCAGAAGGTTGCTATCAAATCCCATGGCACATTTCTATCACTAATCTGGCAAGTTGCCATTCAGACCACAGGAAGCCCAGAAGAGAAGAATATACACTTAGGGCCTTATTCCATCTTCATTCTTCCTTACAGCAGCAGAATTCCTTAAAGTCTCTAGAAGTTTGATCTGAATGGAAAGTATTTTGCCTGAATAGCACCCCTTATTGAGGCATTGTCTCCAAGTCACAAATTTAGATGAGTGTTGTGGTTAGCAGTTTAAGGTTTGGTCATTTTTTCCACACCAACACAAGGAGTGCTAATCACTTCTCATGGTCTAGCAGGATTCTCTGGGACTTCTTGATTTGAGAGCTGGACACTAAAGGGAAAAAAATAATAAGTTTCTCTTCAAGACTTTACCTAAGAAGTTATTTGTTTTAGCAAGGAGCAGAACATTATATTTGAATGGTTTTCAGTGGGAAACACTACTAAAGGACTAAGGCCAGGACTCTGTTCACAAAATACATGCAAAAAACTTGTACTTTGAAGGAAAAGAAACAACCAAAACTGTGATATGTGCATAAAAAGTAAGAAGAAGTGAAAATTGTAAGACAGTATTCATAGCTGTCAGAGATAATGTGGGAGCCTTAAACTTGTTTCCTATTTACTTCTTTGTGCCTTATTATATGAATGCATTTTTGTACTTAAAATCGTAGGGGGGTAGAATATAAGAAAATAAAGATAGTGTAGAGAGTAATCTTGCCCCTAAGGATTTGCAGTTGGGCCAATTATCAAAGATTAGGAACAGGCCTGACTTCAACAGGCCACAGCTGTAAGCAATGAGAAGAAGAGTGCTCTAAAAGAGAGTGGGGTGGCTGGTTGAGAGGGGAACTGGAGTCAGTTGGCTGCTTTGTGAAGAAGAAAGAGTCAGTGCTTGGAGGAGCAGCCCATGAGAAACACCAAGAAGGTATGGAACTTTTGTGATAAGGAGACAACAGTGTGGAACCCCTGCAATTAGATGACAACATAAAATTACTACAAATATTTTGTTGTTGCCATGTACAGATTTACAAAGAGATAGTAAATTAGTTTTCATGTTCGGATCATTGCTGCTTCAATGATTACTATTAGCACTTGTGTTTTCATGGAGCTCTAATTGTTGGGAAGTAACTTTCCTATTGTAACCAACAGCATGTACCTACATTTCTGTTGTAATAAGTATTGTCTCAGTCTTTCAGGTCATTCTGGTTATTTCTGTGGGGTTCATTCAATATTGTCTTCTCATTCCAGGTTATTGAAGGAAAGCTGGCTCCTTTCTTGGGGAAGGTGATCAAGTTTGCCACCTCTCATGTGTATAGCTGCAGCCTTTGTAGCCAAAAGGGTTTCATCTGTGAGATTTGCAACAATGGAGAAATCCTTTACCCCTTTGAGGACATTTCTACAAGCAGGTACTCCAATGTGGTAATGTCAGTCATACATTTGATTTGAGTGTTGTAGCCTTCAGGATTCTCAGCCTCATGACCTTTTATTTAAATAATTAGGGACTAGATTCTACTAATGCATATTTCTGGGGAGCTACAGTAGATCACTGCTCCAGGGAGGCCACTATGAACAAATGTGGAAGCAAATGAGAAGTGCTACTTCCCAAGGTCCTGTCAGTCCCAGAAGAGTTGTTCAAAAAGGGAAAGGTCCCCAGATCATCACACAGTGTGATTTATCCAAAGCTCTTCTGAGTTTGCAAAGTGTCCTGAAAAGCCAAATGACTTTTCTGGAGCAATCACAGACATCTTTCTGTTCTCTGGTATCACTGGGCCCATAATTTACAGGGATCATCCATTCTAAAACAATGGCCAAACATTCTGAAGTGTCTTCCCCATGAAATGTTTTGGCTAGTTCTCTGCTCTGCTTATTCCTCTGTGCCTGTGTATGCAAGATTTTTTTTTTAATATATTGCTATTCTCAGATGGCAGCAAAGTAAGTGTATGTGAGTCCTAAACTAAGTGAAAAAACCTTTCTTTCAGATCATGTAGAGTACTGGGTGCCAGGTCAGGGACAGGAGTCACATGGGAAACCTAGAAGCAAAATGCAGGAAAACCAAAGCAGACTTGGCAACACAGCAGAGTTTCTACTCTTTTTCAGTAATGTCTTGGATTTTCAGTAAAGGAGATATACCCTTAACAGAGTATATCTGACATCCACAGATAAGTATTTTTATGGCTGTTTCAATTACAGTCATTGTAATTTGTTCTCCAAAGTGTTCATTTGAAAGTGGAAAGAATCAAGGACCCACCTTTGGAAACAACCAGGACCAGACAATTAAAAAGGTTTGTTAAGAATCTGGTTCCCTTGCATGCACAAAGATGTTAAATAAATTAAAAGTAACCAAGGACTACTCTAGGATTTTGTCTGATCTGAGTTTCAAAAGTTGCTTGCATATTGTTTTTCCAGAGTCTTATTCTAAAAAAATGTATTGACAAAGCAGTGGATAAAAGCTAAGCCAGGTATGTGATATGTGGTTTATAAACAATTTTTAAGAAAGAATGCATCTAGGGTGCATGGTGAGATAGGCTGAGTTAAAAGACAGACTAAGGTGGCATAAAACATAAGATGTCTGTGGAGACTGCATAATAGGTGATTGAAGATATTCCCAAAAGATTAATGAGACTATGAAGGAACATTTGGGAATACAAGTTCACGTTAAAATTTGATTTGTCTGGGGGATTTTTGGTCACAAAACCATTATTGGGTGTATATTGTTTCCCTGCCCTTCAGCTGAGATCAGACATACCTTGCAATTACACAGTTCAAAACCCCATGGAATCAAATAGAATTTGTCAGCAATTCAAGCCAACAGAAGCTGCTCTAGCTCCTGTGTTTGTGTGAGTTAGAAGCCAGAAAGGACTTGTGTTCATGTTTCACAAATGTGAAGTTATGGTTGATGTCATGCCAAAGACAGCAGTCTTTGTTAATGGTTTTAATTAAAACACAATCAGCATGAAAGGTTCTCCAAGATTTCTCTTTCTTATCTCATCATTCTGCTTATTCCTTTTGTATTCCTTATAACTGAACCTTGTTTTTATGCTCAGCATTTTCTGATTCTTTGCCTAGTTAGTTTTCTCATCTCATCACTCCACATGCACCTATATGGAGCTAACCAGATTATTTCAGTTCCATATTTTTGCTCTGGAGCCAAGTTATGCCAACAGGGGAGCTTGTACAGCAAAGCTGCTGTGCAGCTCTATCAGCTCCAAAGCACTGAGGGAGAAGGCCAGGTGGAGGGATTTTGTGTTGTTTCTATCTTGAAGATGAGAGAGGTTTCTGAAGTAGGTGTACTGACCACTACAAGACAGGGTAAGGTGAGGAGGCTAGTTAGAAATAGAGGGATGTACAGAGTAACCTGTGGCAAATGGATGGCAAGTCCTAAAAGGTCTGTGAGAAGACTTGCAATTATACCTGAAAATTCTGATGATGTATTCAGAATTTCCTTGTCAATTGTCATACAGACCTCTGAGTAAAACAGCTCAGATTTCTGATTTAGTTGTACTATTCTGAGTCCACAGTGTATAGAGATAATTGACTACAACTCCCTTCTCCATCCTGGTTTTCTGGAATTGCTATCCTACAGCACAGTACTCGTATTTTGTACACAACAGTGGACTGCCAGGCACCCTGGCTGAAGCTGGTGAGTTGAGGAGGAAAGAGGAGCTGCTGAACTCTGAGGACCATATTTTTCTTTTTGCATTTGAATGTTTGTTCACTTTAGAGCTATCAACTCTACCAGCAAACTGGGCTGTTAGGTTAGAAATATTTGAAAGGGGTGCATGACATCTTTTGCAAACTTCAGCTCTTTGCTGCATGTTTGAAAAGTGAAGCCTGCCTTTGTGTATGTGTTGTGTGTATGTATGTATGTCTGTGTTGAGCTGGCATTTGGAATTTTGGCTACCTCTCTAACCTTTCTTGCTCTTTGGAGAGAAGAGTGACAGCTGTCTGCCGGCCATTACAATTCCAAGGTGGTTCGCAGTTGGCTGTTAAACTTTCCATCCTCATGGTCTCTTAGGTCAGCTTTGAGGTGAAAAGATTGTTTCTCTCCAAAATATTCTCAGCAGTTTCTGGCATAGTGTTCAGTAGGAATTTATGAAGGATGGGTATTCTTTCGATAGATACAGCTGAGAGAAAAAGAGGGCCCCTCTTGAGGGCTGGAGTTTCTCTTTGGTCTGGTTATTTGCTTGAGAGTCATTTTTGTCAGTCCTTGGGCAAACAGAATGAATACCTGGGTTATGCACTCCTCAGCGTTTGAATACACATATATTACATACCCTTCTCTCACTAATCAGTGTGACACATTCCTTTGTTGGCAAACGGTTCCAAAACAAACACAATCAGTTCACTTAATTAGCGGGTCTGTGGGCTGTGCTTGGCAGGCTCTTTACATCCTGCTCAACAATGCAGAGCAACAGTTTGCTGCCTTGAATGCAAGGGTGGGCTCACAAAGTCATAAGCTTTCAATGATACATCCTTTCTCTGGCTGTTCTTGGGAGGTGGCCATTCTGCACAGATCTTAATGAAAGCTGTGATTCAGTAGTTAAACAATTTCTTAAAAATTGTCCCATCCTTTTGATGCCTCTTCCAGTCACTTTGATTCTTCTGTCCCTTATTCCTCTCTTTTCTGTCTTACCATATTTATATAATACTTCATCAGGGTTCTTTCAAAATTTCACAATTTCACCTTGTTTTTGAAGGCTTTACATTCATGAGAACTATTTAAATCCTCTTGAATTAATTGCACATTTCATGGACCAAATTTTCAGCTAATGTAAACTCTCTGAGCTCTGCTTTTGCTGGAGTTCTGGCAACTTAAATAAACGGAGCATTGGCCTCCTATTTTATTTATTGGGCTAAATTTGCCCTGGGCTAAAATTTAGTGAGTAAACATATAAAATTATCATATTATATCACTTATTTTATATTTACAGGTGTTGTGCAATGACTTTAAATATTCTTGACTGTAAATTGGCTTGTTAGAGCTATCCTTGCCCATTAGCAAGCAGGCACTTCCCCTCAGGTTGCTCTGATTTTGCTTATTCTTCACTAATATGAGGAAAAGGTTTTGTTTCTTTCTACTAAAATTAAAAAAAGAGCCAACAACCAAACAACAGAAGTGAAGTCTGGGTAGCGGCACTGTTGTCTGTAGTAGTTGCTGTATTTGTTTTATAACTTAGAACAATTTTTAACAGTTTTTAAATCTTAAGGAATACTGAGAAAATTACCTTTGGAATGAGAGTAGAATTTATTAAAATATGTTTTCTGTCCCATCAGATAATTAAGCAATCATGGTTATGATTAAGATTATGTTAGCCATTTAATAAAGTTTTGGTCTTGCCTGTCATCATCTTAATGATTACTTTCACAGGCAATTAAATTTGTTGTGTTTTGCTGGTAAAGTTCCTTGCTTGTTAAGAACAATTTAATCCATTCCTTTCCTTTTATGTGCTGACTGTAGATGTATGTGAACCACGGAGAGTTGCTCTTTTGTGTTCATATTCATTTATCAAGGCTAAACTGTTTTCACTTTGTTAAGTTAATTTGTTCTGCAGATCAGTTAAGACATGTAGACCTTTTAAGAGACAAACCAGAAGGCCCAAGTTTAAAATAGACGTGCCACAGAACAGACTTGACTATATCAACCAGTTTGGATGCCTCCATAATCTTTGGCCACCATCCTGATAAGACCTGTGAATGTACTTTGCACATAGTGACAAGGCTTACTAAAGGCTCTGGGGCTGTGCATGCTGAAGTCTTTGCAAAGTTGCGGCTTTGTATTATGGATGCTGTGTCACTGGACAAAGGCAACTTTGAGCATTTGGGAGAATGGTCAAGATAGATGTTAGGTGGAGAGACTGAAATATTCAGTACACGGTATTTGCAGGAAATACCTTGGCACAGGTCAAAGGCATCACTCAAAGTACATAATTTTCCCTCTTGCTTTGATTGGTTTGTCTTTTGCTAGAAAGCCTTTCCCCAGGCTGGACTCACCTGAGTTGTGCCAGTAGTTTAGTACCTAATTTTGAAAGAGCTTAGCTTATCAGATGCTGATAGCTGGTTCAAAGCACTCTGAAGTGATCTGCTCAGCACTTCTTCGAGGAAATGTAGGCACCTAAGTAGATGTTAAGTTCTCTTGGTAATTCAATTTCTCCTGAATCTGTCAAAATTGATCAAAATCTTCTGGCCCAGATTGTCTTATTTTTGTTTGTGCAGGGTAGCACAGTAATATTATCTGGAAGATGTAAACAGAAAACAATAAAGTATACCAGCTTTTTCATCAAATATTGTCTTTTACAACTGAAATAGCTTTAGAGGGTGGTTTTACTTGCCTCATGTCACAGTGGCTTTTAACTAGAATGTTCAATCAATGTCATATTAGTGCCAACTTTCTTCCATTTATTTACCATGTGGGCATCCCTCCCTAGGCAGGCTACTTGCATTGGTTCCTAGGCAACTGGAATAATATTGCTGCACGTGTGTGTCAGGCATTGATTGCCTTTGGGGCTTTTTTTGTATTGTAAGTGAACACAGGCTAGTCCTTTTTCCTTTTCTTTGTGTTCTGCTAAAGGCTCAGAGTTTGAAGGGCCTGTCTATGATATTCTCAGCTGAGCAATTCAGAAATGCTTGCAGACAGGCACATGTGCACAGTGTGGGATGGTGATCATGCTGGAATCCCCAGGCAAGGCTTACTTCAGCCAGTAAGTTTGCTCTTTGGGGTTTTTAATAGCCGAGTTACAGGTGGTTTAGTGTTTTGGGTGCTTGGTGAATGTTTAGCATCATCTACAGAAAACATAATGAATGTTCCCATTTAATCCTGCTTTTACTCTGAATGGCAGGAAAGAAGAGTTTAGTTGTGAACAGTTGAGCCCTAAATCAAATCCTTGCTGAAATTTCTTCCAAGGGATTACTCACTTGACCAAAGGTGTGCAAGGTCTGGCATAAAGGAAGTGAGTTTTTTAAATGAAAAAAAGAAAGCTAATATATAAAATTGCACATAAAGGGTGGTGGGTGAATACGGCACTGCAATGAGGCAGGGGAGCTCTTTGCCCTTCTCAGCTCTGCTAGGAGCCCCTGGCTGACCTTGAGCAAGCCAGTTCACCTCTCACTTCCTGTTGTGAGGTGGGAATGGTGCTGTATCTGTACAGCCAGCCACTGTGCAGGGACTGAAGGTATCCTAATAAACCTTGTTGGTTCCAGCAGCTTCATCCCACCTTTGTACCTGTCACATTGGTAAGTCTGTCAACCAGTAAGGTTCCTACGAGCCAAAAAATTGGCTTTCAGATGACATCCTGGGCTACCTGTTGATCATCCCTGCTTCATTTTGTCTGTTTGAGGTGAAAGGTCTTTGAGGCCTCTTTGTGTTGTACCCCCCACTTCAGGTACCTGATTCTGCTCAGGGGCACTTAATGGTGGTGCAGTACAAAGAATAAACATAAGCATAATCAATTGGTTGTGCAGCATCTAGAATTACTTGAGCTATAATCCTGGGAAAAATAGATGGGAAGCATGGAAAGAACATGCCAGAACTTGCAATTTACTAAATTTGCTATGTTTCAAATGCCCAGACCTAATGGGAGATACTAACTTTGGCATTTCCTCAGCATACAAGGCATGATTATATGCTTTTAATGTAGAAAGCCTTTTCTTTTGTAACTAGTGATGATAATAATAAGAGCATTATAATGCCTCTCCTTGGCTGTGGAGAGCTTTGCCCTTTCTCTTACACTTTCCAGTGCAATAGAAATTATTTAGAGGACTGAATTATTCTCCGCATTTTTTTACTCCATACAAGTAAAACATCCTTAAAACATAAAACACCCTCTAAAGTCTCAACAGAAATTGAGTTAGGTCAGGAAAGAGGAAAAAAAAAAAAGAAAACACCAAAATAGAGAGGAAGCTATTTCAGCTGCCTTCTTAGAAGACTGCAAGGCTGTGTGAAAACAACACGCAGTGTTCACTAAGTCTTCAAATGCTGTTTGAAAAATAGCAAGATGCTATTAATGTGCAGTGTCACAATATCATTCATTAAAGAAGGAAACATGAAAGGCCTGAATGGCTATGGGCTCATCAGCTTATTATCAGTGGTGAATAGCATTCTCACAAAGGATGTAGGGACTTCTTGGCCTCTAGACAAAGAGTGAGTCGGGATTCAGAAATAGCACCTGAACTGTGAATTACCTATGACAACAACAAGGGTTAAGGGAAAGATAAGTAGGTGTAGTGAACTATTAAGTGAGCCTTTTATAGGCTACAAAATATATTTTATTTCTCCAGAGAAATAAAATAATTTTAATATACTGAGGCTTGAAAACAACAAAAGACCGTGTGAAATTCACATGTGGAGATAAAATTAGATCTCAGAATTAACTAGGAAGCAATCTGTTTGTAATATTCTAAAAAGGAATAAAATGTTGGAGTTTTTGGTATCACTGGAGAATCCTTCACAGTGAGGTTAGAAATGGTCAACCAGTTGGCATTCCAGGGCCAGTTAAGATTGACCATATTTGATAAGAGGAAAAGCAGAGCTGTGTAGGTAGCTTGGGGTAGTATAGCTCCACCACTTTAAAAGGAGTGACTTGCCAGTTGCACCAAGGCAGAGGAAGATCAGTATTGCCCCCCTGCCCTGGTGACTTTGTCAGTGAGGGGGGCACAAGCATGCAGTGAAGGCTGAAATGGGTGTCCTCTCTACTTGTTCCTGTGCAGAGCTAGAGGCAGCTTTGTTCTCCAACTCAGAGCACCCTTTCTCTAGGCTGTTTCTTTGTTCTCATCTGGACTCCTTGGTTGGGCTCAACCTTCACAAGAGAAGGCAGAAAATAGGTCTTCAGAGCAGCAGTCAGGGGGCACCAGAATGGACTCACGATGGCAGCAGTGGGTGCCACTGCAGGGACTATGAGATCAGGGCTGGCTGTTTGCTCTGCCTCTGCCTAGTGCCTGACACTGTGGGGTCCTGGGCACAGCTTCAGCTACTGCACCAGCTCTAATGAATAACAGTTCAGACAGTTTTTCTCTCTGTTTTGATTCTAAGGGATGGGAAAAATGTTTGTTGATCTTTTCCACTGACCTTATTTCTGAAAAATGAATTTGTATTAATTTGAACACCATCAGTCTTTGTTTGCTCTGCTGATGGCCTTTGACTTGAGAGACCAGGTGTGCTGGCTCCTCTCTCATCCTGCTCAATCCACTTCAGCAGTAATTTCTGATAGGTTTTGTCATTTCCATGCATGCTGTAGAGAAATATTGGGCTAGCATAGAAGGTGGTGATGTGAGAGCACAAAATTACACTCCTCATCAATCATTACCCTCTAGCAACTTCCAGGGCACTGTAAACTGCTGACTAACAAGGGAGAATTATCTTGATAAAATCACCATTAGTGTCAGTTCAGAGTGGTGTAAAGTTTTAAAGACACTGCTGTCTTCTGTCTCTTCTTTGCCCATTAGTGGGTCTGTTTGTGGAGATCTAAACGCTGCAAATCACGTAAGCACACTTAATGGAAGGCAGACCAGTAATCCCAAAGAAATCAGTAAGATGTGAGTCCTAAGCATTGTGTGCATGTGCTTCGCTGGATAAGGGCAATAAACACACTCTCTAAGCACAGAAATTGTAAATATCTCTGCATGAGCCAGTTTCTTGATTCAAAACCAGATTTAGAGTGTAGCTGGACTGAGAAATCCAACAGTCAGGTTTTACTGCAAGAGAGCATGGAAGCCAGTAGATATACTGCTTTATACTTAGCCTTGTTCACCTGCCTTTTCTTACTCATATTTCGCTTTTATCAGTTTATGCTAGTTAGAAATGTGCCTCATTAAATATCTGCACAGCCTTCTTAAAGCTCTGCAGTTATTAAAATTCACACCATGTTTGGAGCCATGCATAAAACTTCAAGTGCAGCCAGATCAGGAACAGTTTTTTTGGAAGTTACAGGTGAGATGCAGCCAATATAGCTAACAGGTTGTGTTAGCTTATGGACTTCTCTCAGCATTGTCAGACCACATGCCTTATGGCTTCTCACTTTTTGGGGGTTTTCTTTCTTCATGTTTTTAATTTTTCTTCACAGTCTTGAAGACAAAAACCTTATTTCTATGAAAATCAGGTTCAAAGCAAACCAACAAAAAACCCCACTAAAGTTATACTAATGGGCACTTGGATTCTTATGTAGTCATTTGACTACAATTTCTGCAAGAAAGGAAAAAAAGTGCAAGGCATTTCAAGATGTCCTGTGGAATGAATCACCAAGGGTGACCAACACCCATTGTTTGTATTTCAGGATTACTTTAAAGTTTGATGTTTTGTTGCTTTTATTATTTGATTATCCAACTGAAATCTAAGACTTTTTACCTCTGACAGTCCACCTTGTACTTTTTCCTTTGGTTACAAAGCTGTAGTGACAACTCATCACTACAGATAAATATTTGCATTGAAAGGCTGACAATGTCCAACTGTTGAGTTGTAGCCCACTCATGATTGCCAGATGTTTCATTGCTCCACATCCATCTGCAACTGGGGCTTGATCTGCTGTGACACTAAGTTCATTGCCTCACAATGCCCCAAAAGTAAACCAGTCATCTTGTTTGAGCAGTTGATTTGGAGTCCTAATGTCACATTTGAGAACAGAATAACACAGCTTTGAATGCCAGAAGCATGGCTCAATGTATTGATCAATTGATCAACATAGATCAGTTGTCTTCATCTAGTCTAGTCTTCAATAGGACACAGGGCAGACAACATCACTTACCTCTGTTTCATTTTTACGTTTGAAATGACAACTTCTGCTGTTGAAGTGGACTGTTCTTTACTCTTTCCAGAACAGCTGACCACTGGAGCTTCAATGAGAAATACGTCACATCATGGCTATTGCAAATCACAGAATCTGTTTCTGCAAATGCTGAACTATACCTTATAGTCACGCCTCATTTGCAAGCAAAGCAAGACTTGTCTTTCATAAAACAAAGTTGGTGTCTTTTCAGTGACGTACCTGAATACTAGATACTAAGAAGATAAGTATTAATCCTTCTAAAAACTTGTCTGTGTTCCAGGTGTGTGAAGCAGAAGTGCTGGGACAGTTTCTCAGCAACTGCAAAATGAATGCAAGTCAATTTATCTTAGTGTTCCTGAGTCGCTTTACACCAGCAGAGGCGTGGCCATACCAGTGTCTTTTTAGAACACCACTCTAGAGAAGCATAATGCTCTTTGAGCTCCCAGAACAGTGTCAAGGAATACCTACTGCCCACAGCCCATGTGAAGCCCGTTGCATGCTCTGGTCCTATGTTTTGTTTCAATTTTGACACTAATTTGTGTTTGCAGGTGTGAAAGCTGTGGTGCTGTCTTCCACTCTGAGTGCAAAGTGAAGGCTGTGCCATGCCCCAGGTGTGTGCGTAAAGAATTGCAGAAGAAGCAGAAATCCTTCTGGAGGCAACTGAATATGGACGAGAACTTCGAAGAGTCTTGCAACATGTTTGAATTGTCATATCAGAACACATGAGGTCCTGAAGGCTGTGGCCAGCCTGAAGAGAATCCCTCTCCCAGCTGCCAGCTCAAGCAAATTCTCTGCTTAGAACAGGCAGAAATTGTTTTCAAAAATATTACCTGACCTCCTTCAGCTGTGAAGTAAGAGCTGCCAAAGTGGCCATAAAGCCTTGTTGGTTTTGAAATACCAATGGCTAAACTGCATTGAAGTCCAGCCTTTGGCTCTCATACAAAATGTGGTTTATGAGAAATGCTTTAGGTCTAGCTAATTAAGTACTCAACTTTCTTTTCCACCTCTGGAGAACACTTTATCTCAAGGCAGAAAATATTTGCTGCCATGACTGCATTATTTTTTATGTTGTTCATTTAGAGTTGATGAATCATTTACTTATTTATGTGTATTATTTATTTATTAGTAGCCTTGGCAGGGGTTCTGGTGAGGTGATTCACAGAACATAATAGAGCAGGAATTATTTTAAATCCACTGTCTCCTTCTGATATGGACATGTGGTTCCATTTCCTCATGTTTTCAGAGAACTATTTTAAAGGATCTCCCTTAAACCTTATTCGGGGTGCTTGCAAACATAAGACACAGAATAATTCCTTCAGTTATGTTTATATATTTATAACCACCAGTGAACTACTCCATATTCAGATAACCATGGGACTTGCTACTCTTTTTGTTCAGGCTGGGAATATCAGTTAAGCTCTGTCACTGAAGTCCTTTGAGATTTGTGCTGTTTACTCTTGATTCATGGGAGACTATGTCCTTGTCTGTAGTAACATGATGTTGGTTCTCCTCCTTCCAGTCTGAAACTTCAGGGCATTTTAAGAGTTCACATTGGTTTTCTGTTTATTTCCTGAAGTTTACTTCAAATGTTTTTCTAATCTGAACCTGTTAAACTGATAGTCAGGAAAGTGTCTTGCCCATTTTAGTTAGCAAATACCTCCAAAATTGTGAAACACTACTTTGCTGTTTTCAAATACAATTTGTGTCCTGCGTTCTCTCTGAGCTCTGAGGCATTTATAGTTCCGTAATGATTTCTATGGTGGACAGTGAAGTTCCTCAAGGTGTGATTCTGCTTCACACACCTGGAACACAGGGAAGTATAAAACAGAGTGAATTATTTTGTAAAGGGAAGTAAGTACCTGTTGGATTTAACTGGAGAGCTGTGTGTCCTTACTGGCAGTATGTTTAATTCAGGGCGAGTTCACTTCCAATGAGCAGTTAGATTGTCTTCCCCCCATTTCACATTCCTGACTCTTTTCCACACCCTGCAGTGATATGTGTGTTACATACCTATGAAAGCATTCATATATATATATATACACACACAAAATCTATATATAGAAAGTAAATATGGTTTCAGGAGAATAATGCCAGTTGCATGTGTTTTTTTCCTCTCCTCTCAGATAGGTTTGTGAAAATATGGAATATTGATTTTTGCTTCCTATATAATCTACAGACTCTATTCAAGGCAGAAAGCAGTTTTGATTGTTGAAGCATCTCACTAATTGCTGAAGTATTTTAAATGAAAGAACAGGGTACATCATGCTTACATTAAAAGGTAAAATGCTACAATGAGTTGCCTTGTACTGGAATATAAGTGGTTACCTTTTCCAGCCTTCAGTAAAAGAAAAAAGTAGCGTTCTCAAATTTGAGTGCAACTACTATATATATGTATACACACACAGAAGCATGTTTATATCTCTATACATTAGACAACCTGTGCCTTTCTTTTGCAGAAATCCTTCTTTCATTGGGATTCTTTAGAAGGAAGTGAGGGTTTTTCCATGTTCTTGGCAAAGTGCTGTAGGGATTCCCATACTTAATAAACCTGGTGAATCATGCACCTTTGTCACTAAAATTAATACTTCCCATACACAATGGTGTCTCTGTCTCAGCTCACTGTTCCTCATGTGAAATGAGTTGCTTTTGGCTATCGCCCTTAAAGGTATAATATTCCTTGCAAATCCATTCCCATGCAAAGAATTCCCTGTGTGTTCAGAAATGCAAACACTGGGGAAGTATTGTGGAATTAGTCAGGCAAACAGGAACTGCACTGGTACTGGCTGAATAAACAGAACGCTCCCATGTTTTTCAGCTTGTGTCACTACAATTACTGCTGTGGCAAAGCCAGTAGCTCTGAAACTGTCAGCATCTGGCAGGTACTATTTTGAATTATCTGTAGACATAATGTTAGGTCATTAAAGAAAAAATGGTGGTGTTTTACATATCATCATGCTCTGGTATTTATAATACCTCACAGTGCTTGTTCATGTCCAGCTCAGTTTGGAGAAGGCTGCTTGAGTGCACTGTCAAAAACCATGTAGAGTCAGGGAATCAAGGTTCAGACATTGCAAAATATTAGTTACTTTGACAGATGTCCTATCTCCAAAGTACCAGTCATTTGGGTGGTTAGATATTGGAATTGAATGCTGGAATAGCAACATAGACAGCATTGGAGTTGCTCTGGGTTTGTACGTGTACTACAGAACAGTTTCTTTGCTAACAGAGATTTAAAGGATAAAAAAAGTATGATGTTAGCAAAACTGCTGAAATTAGTCATGGGTCTGAAACTTGAGTTTCAGACCCATGCCATTACAAATGACACAGAGCAAGAGCACGTTATGATATTCTGTCAGTGCCCAGAGCTTTATGTTAAAGGATACCGTGCAATACAGATCATGCTGTTTGCTTTAAAATGCAGTGTTGTTGTAAACCAGCTAGTTCCTAAAATGAATAGACATTTATTTCTACTTTAAAAAAGTGATACAGCTTCACAGTAGCTCTAGGAGCAGGCTGTAAGGTGAAAGATGATGTCCTCTCAGGGATGCCTAGCTCCTGTCCAAAACCAGTTATTCCTTATAAATGGGTAGGGTAAAATATTCTGTCATCAATTTTTGTAAGCATAATGAAAGGCTTAATCCTGCCCTCAGACAATTTTCTTGCAGGAGCCATCTGCAAGCAGGAGCCTCAGCCTGGGGTTGTGCAGGTGGTTTGGGTTTCAGACAGCGCTGTACCCTTGCATGGCTGTACCCTGCTGTACTGCCAGCGCTCTGTGCTGGTCCCCACTGCTCTGTGTGTCCATTCTGCAGCCCACAGCCTGCACGGGGCTCTGCTCTGCAGACTTCTGGATGAGCATCAGCTGGTGAAGTTCCTGGGGGCTTTGCAGATTGCACCACTCTTCCCACACCCTCCCCCCACCCCAGGTGAAATTATGCATTAGTACTTCAGACTTGTCCTACCCACACATGAAATAAATTTGAACGATACCATTTCATTGTGAATCAAGAATGAAATATGCTGTTTGTCTTCTTCAAAGAGAAGATGCTTTCATAACTGACTGAGAAGGAATTGATCTGTAATCCAGTTACTGCTTTTGCTTTGTACAGAACTTATCATCTGTGTAAAAATAGGATGCTTAACTGCAGTGGACCATAGCTTCACTCTCTACAGGTACTTACAGTTGTTAGTCTGATATTATTTTAATCTATGACACTATTGAGATCCGTATTCAAGTCTCTTTTTACCCTAACCATCTACCTTTCCTTTAATGGGAAGATGGGCCTATTTAGGGGATGCAAACTTCAGCTCTTTTTGCATTATCAATCTATAAAAAGAGAAATTTGTATTTCTTGTGTAGGAATCCTCCTATTGCTTTTCTTGTTTTTTGTCTGTCTTACATGGTGGAAAATGATGGGTTCTTGATGTGACAAAATATCCTGGCGGGCACATACCAATATGAGCTCACTGCTGGATCCATAGGAATTGGTAGGTTTGAGGGAAGGTACTCTTTTGAGAGGAACTTAAGTTTTTTGCAGTACTGCACAGACTCTGATGGCCCTGTTAGGAGTGAATTGTCAGGGTATCTCTAGAGCTCCTCTTGTCAAAGCTTCTCCTATTATTAGGATAGTATGTGTATTACAATAGATTGATGATAATGTCTTGAAAGATTTTTAAAAAGAGCAGAGGATGTCTGTTTACAATGAAATGGGGAAGCTGCCCAGTTGAATTTTGTTTTTTCCCTGTAGCAACAAAAGCCACTGAGTTTCCTAAGCTTCCCAAAGGTCACTGCCTGGATTGCAGCTGAATGTTGATCTGTATAAAAAAAAATTAATAATATCATAATCTTCTAATTTTTTTTTCTGCCACTGAGTTGCAAGCCAGTCTCCCCTCTCTCTTCACTGTCTCTGTTCCTCTCCATACTCACAGTACTGAGCCTATAGCCAGGCTTGGAGCTTCATAGGTCATTGTATTGCTTTTGAACCAGTTGAGTCCAGTCATTCTCTCCTTTGTAATTTGCCTTCCAATTTTCCCTTCCCAGTAGGAGTGCCTTACAGTACAGTATATTAGTGTCTCTCTTCCTGTTTTGGATTTCCTGATTGTATCTGCTGTTTTATTAACTTGTAGACTTAAACTGAAATGCTTCTGTGGCTGGGCCTGCTCTTTTGCAGGAGCAGTTGAGTAAATCAGTTTGCTTGTTCTGCCCTTGTGAAGTTAGCTCTACAGGCTTCATATACCAGCTCTGAAGACACCAAGCTGTGTGGGAACTCCTCACTTTTGCTCCTTTTGGTGCCTTAAATTTTGAGAGGTGAATAATTTTTTTTAGAAATGCTCTGCCATGATGCAATGTGTTTGGCATCAGAACTTAAAACTCTTGCTTGTGACAGTTTCCATCATGCTAAGAATGGTAACCATAAAATTTGTTTACTGTCCATGCTTTGTGAGGGCATTATGAGAGAGGATAGTGTAGAGATGGTATTGGTTCTTATGTGTGTTTTTGAGACTTGTTGGACTGCTTAGCCTGAGATGCAGTTGTGCAAGACCTTCAGAAGCCGTGCATATATAATAATATCAGGTACAGAGAATTAAAACAGGGTCAGGTCACATGCAGTTTTTCTCCTCCTGGAACCCCTGGCCAATCCACACAATGTGGCCAGAGACTCCCATACTGAGCCCCCTGCTTGCTTGCACAGCTGGGTCCAGTGCTGTGGGAGTGAAGGTGTTTCCTCAAAGCTCAATTTTAATGCAGCCTGGCTCCCTGAAGGCTGACCCAGTGGGCGTTTAGTCAGCCTCACCTTAGAGAGAGGGTTAACCCATTGAAATTGTAGCATTATTTGCTAAAGTATCTGGTAGGTGTCAGCCTAGGGCACAAGTCCATACTGTGATTTTCTAAGTCCACATTTGACACCAGTAGCAGGAATCCCCTTAACAGCAGCAGTGCTGCTACTGCATTTTAGCAGTACAGTGAGGAGACAGCCTGGATAATAATGTGCAAAATCCTTCTTTACTTGAAAATCCTGGTGTGGCCATGATGGCTTGAGCTATGTGTTAAAATGCCAATTCCACCCAAATTCCTTAGGGTGACCATTAATCCAAATTGCAAACATGCTACTTGTGGTCAGCATCAGAGATATCTAGGTCTGGAGAGCTATCAGCTGTCTAGGACCAAAGTTTATTAGACTCTGTCTTTGTGCACAGATGTCAGCGGTTCAATTATTTATTTATTCCTGTCTAATCCACATGTTAAACCATTATGGATCCTTGAATACGCAGCATTGTTTTGGTGGAAAAAGGATTTGTTTCCGTTTTGCTTATGCACTTGTCTACCAAGTTGATTTTGCTTAAACTAAACTGTGCTTTCAGTTTTGATTTTTAATTAATACCTGTGATACCAAGTTACATGAGTCCCTGCTATACTTGAGGTAAGCTAAAGTAAATTCATGAGCAAAACATGTGTTTCATAAGTATTAAGTGACAAAGGCAGCTTCCAAATCAACTTTAGTTCAGTCAAGGCAGTTGAAAGCCAGGGAAAACCAGGTGTGAGCAGCAGAGCACAGTGGCTGATGTGGTCCCTGGCAGCCTGGGCTTTCCTTCCTGCCAGAGCACCAGCTCACCTGCACCCCTTACAGTGAATTTTAGCATTGCTGGCAGTGCACCCTGAGTTTTTGGAACACCCTTATGTGTGTGTGTGCTACTGTGTTAACTTATTTGCAACATTGTTATGTGTGTTTCATTGTTTGCATTGTTGGTTTGGTTTTTTTACTTTTGACAAGGATATTTTTTTTATTATCTGCAACTACTGGGCAATAGTCTTAATTTATTATTGATGTGTAATGATGTTATAATTTAAATCTGTTGAGTTGAATTGCTTGTTGACACTTGAGCAGGGTTTGTTTGGGTTTATTTGGGTTCACTTGTGACTGCATCAGAGCACCAGTCCCTCCTGTATAAAGGCAACTCTCAATAAACACTAAAAAAATGTTACTCATCCTTTTTAATTTCCCTTCTGGTGGGTACTGTACCATGGGTAGGGTAAGCTCTGAAAGAGCGATAGTTTTCTTAAAAATGCTTCTCTGCTGGTTAAAGTTTTCTGAAACTAAGAAAATGTGATACATACTGTTCCCAGATCTCAGCCAGGAGGGCCTCTGGAACTACTGTTGATGTCTGCATCAGGCTCTGGGGGTTTGGATTCCCAGTTAAATCTTGTGGTTTTGGAACACCACAAGTTCCTAGATTTTTAATGGTGCTGACCCATTAAAAGCTCCCAGGGGAGCTTACTGTGGCTTTGAGGCACCCTTGGAAACAGAGCTCCTGGGAGGCTTGCAGCAGCAGCTTCTTACTGTGTGGCTGCCACGTGTCCTCTGCCAGAAGGGTCCAAGGTCAGGGCCTTGAACTCTTAAGTAAGGGAGGCATCTCCCAGGTGGACTGAGAGGACCACTGAGGGGCTGGAAGGACAGGACTTTGCCCATCTTATGAGGGTTCTCACACCTATGGATGTAGGAGCAGGCAAGATTCTTGTTGTTCTTGGTTGTTTCTTCCAGTGCACCAGCTAAGGAGTTTCTGC